CTTTTTCTCTTCTCTTTTATTTCCTTCATCTCTCTTTTCTTCAGTCTTCTGCACCAGTTTCCCCAAGTTTGTGTGATCCCCTTTTGTCCTCAGACCTTATTTGTAATCTCTTTCTAATCCATTTCTCTATTTTCTCTTTAATCCATTTAAAATTTTAACCCTGAGAGCAAAATTGACACATTATGGATTTCTATATTGCATATAATTATCTTGTTTGTTTTACATTGTCATATAATCACACATCTAGTTCATATAGTTAAAAGTTGCAAATTAAGGATTAGCTCAGTTTGTTGTTTTCTAGGCTGTGTTTGATGCTATTGGTAACCACTACAGCCAAAATTGACATAACTGTTCTGAACAGCTGTTGGTTCTGATAATCCATGACTGAGACTGACTAAGGGTTACAGAAAATGCCAAAGAACTAGGAACTAGGCCCAACAAGCAACAATTCCTCATCTATAAACTGAAGAATTAAAATATTCCAACAGACTCAAGACCCAGAAATCAGCTATACCTGGAAGATACTTCAGAGAAGTAATTGTCCTAAATACTACCAATAAAGCAACCCACATAGGTGTGATGATTAATACAGTGTGTCAACTCGAGAAGTTTAGAAATTTAATTGCGTCAGCATCCTTACTTTGTAAATATCCTGAGCCTGTGCAAGAGGAGGGAGCAGAAGTGGTGTGAGTGCTACACCTGCCCTGGGGGTGGTGGCCTGTTTACAATATAAGGGAGAAGAGGCGTGTTCTCCCCCTTTTGCTCTGGCTGCTTTCACTGGCTGCTGCCTTGAAGTGTTGCCCTGGTGCCATGCCACCCTGTCTTGGAGCCAGCTGATTATGGACTGAAACCTCTACAAACAGTGAGCTAAATAAACCTTTCCTTCCTTCATCTTGGGTGTTGGGTATTTTTGTCTCAGCAATGAGAGAAAAGTAACCAAGGTAATAGGTAACTCACAAGCATCACCCCAGGAATTAAACTAAAAAATAACGAGAAAATAAAATGGGAAGACACTTAAACAAAATGCAACTTCAGACATCCAGTTCACCACAGGCAAATGGGGGTAGGGGGCAATGAGGTGGGACAATCTGAAAGCCCCCTACCAAGTCTCTCTAAAGTGGAAACAACTAAGACATTGAATGAGACACCATGTCAGAAGTAATCAGACAACCACAAACACAAACCATACCAAATGTGATGAGATTCACCAGTGATTTCTTTCTTTCTTTTTTTTTTTTTAATTTTTATTTAAGGAGAAAAGAAAAGAAAGAAAAAAAAACAGTGAAGGGGTACAAGTTATACAGGTTTACAGAATAAAAAAATGCGCAGTAGGAAATCACTAGTTAATGGATTACATATTGCCATCTTAGAAATAATTGTTCAAGTCACAAAATTAAAGCTTGTAGAGTGGACATTCCAACAATGATACTGCAAACAGTTCTGTTCAATGATCCAATAAAACTCTGTGATATCATTTTCTATCTTATACTTTTAAATATACATGCAGTTATATAGTTTAGAGCACTTTCTTTTCCTCTCTTTTGTACAGTGACTATTACACATTTTGGGTTTCATTGCTCCCACAGTTCTTGTTGCTTTTTTGGAAGAGAGTAAAACCAAATGTGACATAACAGAACAGAATCGGTCAAGTCAAAAGGGTGGACATAATAGATAATATAAAAAACATAATACAAGGTGATCAACAATGGTTACCATAATGCCTCCTGCTATTTCTAATAGAATTGCCTATATCATTAGTTGTAATACAATTGAACAAAACCGTAAAGAATAAAACCGACAAAACCAAAACATTGGAGATATTGTAGGTCTTCAAAAGTAGATAAAAGTCAACGAGAATGGGCGTTATAATGAATCTCATTATCTTCTCAGCTGATGCCTAAACTTTCGAACCTGATACTATCCAGCAAAACAGAATATAGGAACCTCAGTCAAAAACAAGATGGTGAGAGTAATACAGGGCTTCAAATCGAGATAATAGAAAGTCAAAGTGGGTTACTATATTATATCCTGCTATATTTTTCCCTGTAATTAAATGGATAAAAATAAAAAAGTAAATAATGGAGTGGAGATTGAGAAAAAAAGAGGGCATAACAGCGAAACAGGGCAGATCAAAACATAACCATTTAAGCAGAATAGTGTTTCACCACCAGCTAATCCTGACCCAAAAATGGTTACCATATTGACTCCCTCCCTGAAGTCCTTGAGTACAACTTCATATACTGTAGCATTAAGTATATCAAAACAATGTAAATCCATTTAAGAGAATGACAGCATTATAGAGTATTTAGAATCGACTAACAGAAAATGAACAATGGTCTCTGTATAATCTCCTTGTCTTTAAAAGGTTTTTTCTTATACTATCGTACATAACAAAATCCAATAAGCTACAACCTGTTTAGACCATTGGAGACAGAAGAACAAAAGCTAGATGAGACTTCAAAACAAGATGGTACTAAATCAGCATTACCTATTAAGATGTCATTTTCTCCAAAAAAAGCTGTTCCTATCATCCAATCTTCTCTGTCTCATTTCTGTTGAGCTCTTTTTCTGTCAGTAGCTGTCAGTTTGTCTTCTTCGTTTTGTTCTCTGCTCTATTCGTTGTGGCCTCCCCGCCCCTATTTCTGGGTTCTTTGTATTTTTCTTTTTTTAGAATATCCTGCAATACTTTCTGTAGGGTTGAATTGGTGGTTGCAAATTCCCCCAGTTCCTCTTTATCTTGGAAGCACCTCGTTTTTCCATCAATTTCCAGGGACAGTTGTGCAGGATATCTCAATCTTGGCTGGAGATTATTATCTTTCAAAGCTTGAATTATTTCTCCCCATGCTCTTCGTGATTTGATGGTTTGTGAAGAGAAATCTGCTGTAATTTTGATGGGTCTTCCCTTGTAAGTGATCTGTTTCTTGTCTCTTACAGCTTTTAATATTCTGTTCTTGTATTGAATTTCTGGAATTTTTATTATTATATGTCTGGGTGTTTCTCTGTTAGGGTTGTAGGTAGCTGGGGTCCTGTATGCCTCATACATTTGAGTATCTTTACCTTTTGCTAAATTAGGAAAATTCTCCTGGATTATTTCTGTGAGTAGCTTTTGTAGTTCACTTGTTTGTGTCCCTACTTCTTCTTTTATGTTCTTAATCCTTAAGTTATGGCTCCTCTTATCATCTTCTTGTCTTTGTATTATTGCTGTGTGTTTCTTTGTTATTTTTAAGAAGTTTTTCATTTCATTCTCCCATGTTTCAAGTCTGCCCTCCAATTCAGATAGTCTGTCCTTAGTTTCTTTCAAGCTGTTATGCCAGTCTTGGGTAGACTTCTTGATTTCTTGATAGTCCCTTTGCACCTGCTTCACATACTCCATGCTTTCTCTGTTTTCTCCATCAAGCAATTCTCCCCTCTTTTTCTGTTCTTCCACTCCACCATCTGCTTTTTCCTGGGTGGTGCTTAGCATTTCTCTAACTATTCTGCATACTTCTAGCTTCAGGTCATTGATAACTTCATTCCTGAATTGGTCTATGAGGCTCTCTAAATGGCGCTTAATGTATATTGGTACAGTGTCCACTATTGCCTGATTCTCAGGATTGGGGGTCGAGGAGCCTTTTTTGTTGCTTCCCTTCCCCATATTTTCTGTTCCTTATGAAATGTAATCTTACACAGGAGGCCCGGCTTCCCTGCCTGTCAGCTACAGCTTGATCGAATTGCGCTGGCTAGTTGTTCCAGCTCACTGCTGCGCCCCAGGGAGTTGCGGAGGAGGCAGCCTACGCGGAAGTCGGTCGCTCCTCCGGGCCACCGTCAGGCTCTGGGATCTGGGCTAGGCCAGCCTAGGGGGTCCGCGAGCAGCGTCCCTCTGGCCAGGCACCTTTCACCAATCCCGTCCGAGAGGGAACCGTGCGGCTGCAGTTGCCGCCGCGCCCTGCTCTTACAGGACTGCCCGCGCCCAGAAAATCCTCCGCTGGAGTCAGACTGCGGTAGGGAGTCAGTTCCTCGCTCACCTCGCCTCCAGTCAGCCTTCCTTCCTGTCCGTCGCGTTTCCGACTCCGTTCCTGAGCTCGGCGGTCGCGTCTCTCCTTGCTGAGCCGCTGTGGAGGTAGCCGGCCGCCGCGCGGCGGGAAATCCAAACCGCGGTTTCCAATGGCGCGGAGTCGAGCCTCCACACCGAGATTTTTCTGTTCCTATTTTAGCGCCAGGACTGTATTCCAAGTTGGATTCTCTCAGCCCAGTTTGTTCCTGAGTCAGCAGAGCATATCTCTACTGGTTCGTATCTCCTTAGTCCGCATCATTCCTGGCCTCTGAGCCGAGCCTTTAGAGAGCGTTCAGTAGTTGCTGTTGTCTGTCCGCCATGTTCTCCAGAGTCCGATTCACCAGTGATTTCAAGCCTACTGCAAGAAATGCTCTACAGAGGAAACTATCAGAATCTAGTATCTACAATATATCATTCACAGTGTTCATTGTAAAAAATGTACTAGATAAGTGAAGAAAAAATATGACTCATAATGAATAGAGAAAATACACCAGCCAGGTATACACGCCTGCAACCCCGCGCTCTGGGAGGCTGGGGCAGGAGGATTGTCAAGTATGAGGTCAGCCTAGACAACCTGGCAGCATAGGCCCTCTCTCTGAAAGACATGGGGATGTAGCTCAGCACAAACACTCTGGATTCAATCCCAGTACCTGGTAGGGTCGGGGAGAGACTGGATCTACCTAGTTGTCAGGATTGGCAGATAAGGACTTTAACTCTGAAAATAAAAGTCTTTGAAAGTGATAAACATGTTGAGTGAAGAAGGTAGAACAGAGGACCAAGTTTCCACTGTGTAGGGAAACCATTGAAGCTGCAGATCTCTGCAGTGGGCGTGGGGGAAATGGGTAGGGAACAGACAGTACCTGATACACATCTGCAAACCTCTGCATAAACAGGATCCTGCTGCATTTTATCCTGTCAAATACAGTTTTTCAAAACTAAACATATTTGAATTATGTTAAAACTCAGTAAGTCCTTGTTTCAACAATTTATACGCTAAAACTAGGATGATGCAGAGAAGATTAGCTTGGCCCTGCACAAAGATGACACCCAAGTTAATGAAGGATTCCACATGTCTATTACAGTCTGACATATATTGAATAGGTGGGAGTCATCTGAATGTAATAGTAATTTAAAGAAATTGATTAAATGAACCATTGAAATTTTCTTCGTTTTTATTTTTATTTATTTTGTGATACAGGGTCTCACTATGCAGTTCAGGCTGGGTTCGAAGTCATTATATAGCCCAGGCTGGCCTTGAACTCATGGCAGTCCTTCTGCCTCAGTCTACAGAGTGCTGAGATTACAGGTGTACACCACCACACCTTGCAAGCTGTTGAGATTTTCAGCAGAGATTGTTAAAAAAGTAAAAAAAAATTTAAAATAAAATTAGGGAACAAAAATATTTAAAGGGTAGGGGATTAAGATAAGAGTGAAAGGAAAAAAATATTTAATTCTATATTGTCAGTCACATTAAATACTGAATTTTTTCTGTAATTGTATGAACAGTGACTAGGGTTCACTGAGAAAGAATTTTTAACAGTGTTTGGAGTTAAAGACTATTGGTGAATTATGCATTATGAAATGTGGTAGACCAGGAGCATAGGCCTAATTCAGCCAGAAGCTAAGCATGAGTGGGGTTAAGACTTTGCTGCTGTGATGCACATAAAGAAACCCATTTCCAAAATATGAGGGTAGAATTAGACAAGCTCCTACATTTTCATATCAGTGGAGATTTAAGGCAACAATGTGGTTGAAAGCAGCTTCAGGGGACTTGTCTGGAAGCTGTATTTCCCTATACATACACGTTTAAAATTTAAAGTGTGTGCTGCATGTAAAAAAATCAGATTTCTGGTTTTAAAAAGCTCAGTAATACCCACACCCTCGTGCACTGTAATTCAAAATGAGAACACGTCAGTGGCTGTGATGCTGACAGATGCAGCCCCACTCACTGAGCCTGCAGAACCACTTGGTGTGTCTCCCTCCTCATCAGAGAAGGTCTTTCTGCGGCTCTTAGATGTGAGAGGGTGAATGGCTAAGGTGTGTCCACGTGGTGTTTTCTTTAGGCGGACTCAAGCAGCTACCTGGAACTAAAAATGACTTTTTCTGGTAGAAAATGGGGCCTTTAAGACAAAAATAGATGACAGGTATTGTGGGGAACCATGCAAACTGCTTCAAAGCTCAGGGGTGTCTAGGACACCTGAAGCCATAACCTTGCTGTTTAGCAAATGCATAGTGGGATGCGGTTATATAACCGTGACAGCAGAGGACAAACACCCCGTGCCGGTGAGCCCAGCGTGTGAGACCATAAACGTGAGATAACAGCCTGTATAAGAACTATGCAATAAAGATGCGGGCGCTCGTGTGTTCTTGCACTCTTGTGCTCTGCTCTGCTTCATGCTGCCTGCTACTATTGCTGATGTCTTGCACACATGTGTTCTTTAACTTGGGCCTCTCACCACGAAAATGTCCCCCTGAACGGGCCAACAGGTATGATGAGTTCGACCAGGATCAAAATGCCAGATATCCTACCTGAGACTAGTTCTTTAAAGTGTCACCCGCTCTGGCAATTGTTTGTGAAGCAGTATGCCAAAAATGATCATGAAAAAACAAGAGAAGGGTGGCATTTAATTATTTAGAGGAATCACCTTTTATGACAATAAAAAATCACCCAAGTCTTCCTCGATGTGTTTGGTGTAGTAAATTTTGCAAATTAGTTCTATAGATCCCGCCAAGTTGCAATGCCATTTTGAGACTAACTACAGTGAAGCATGAAAACAAAGCTTCCATTTCTATCCAGAGAAGACAAATGGCATCAGCTTTTCAAAAAACAGAAAGGAAGAAAAGAAACACATACAAAGCAGCCCAGCAGTGAAAGTGCACTCTCAGTGCTGGGCATAAATGACCTGCTGCACATGACTCTGGAGTGTGCTATTAAGGAAAAGCCTTGGAGACCGCAGGCTATTATTAACAGGACCTATTAGTCACAGAGCAGCAAGAAATTGAAGAAGCAGGCTGCTGTGCATGCCTGGAGGACTGCTCCCTGGTAACCGGCGAAAGAGGAATTTGCAAATGCACAGCTCTCACTAGAAACCCAGGTCCTTTGAGGCAGAGCGCTGATCCACCTTATTCAGAGAGTTGCTGCTCGGCAGCTGTGGAAAGAAGGATCCATTCAGTTTGCTTGGTGTTTTTTGTTTTCTGTTTTGTTTTTTTGAAACAGGCTCTCTGAATTCCAGGCTGGCCTCTAACGAGCTGTGCTCTTACTGCTTCACCCTCCAGAGTGCTGGAACCTCAGATGTGTGCCACCACAGTCTGCTCTACCTTGCTCAGTGCTGGAAGGCTAAGGCTATGTCCAACCTTTACCATCCAGCTGGACCAGAGACAGATGTGCTTTTCCAGTAAATAATAACAACAGTAGCCCATACTGGGGATTTGCCTATGTGCTTCCACCGTGTTGACTGTTTTATGTGACTGTCCCATACTCACCTGTCAGTGACACCATGTGGTGAGCATTATTACCTGCATTTCACAAACCCTGTGTCAAAGTGGCACAAAGAATAGTGGCTGGGCAGGCTTTCAAATCCAGACGCTGGGAACGCAGAGCCCGCCTTACCACCGCCGCCTCCTCCTCCTCTTTTTCCTCCTCCTTCCCCCTGTTGGTTGGGCATTCAGAAAAGCTATTAAGAAGAAGTTGTTTGAATACCATGAAATGTTGGCCAAAGTGTAGCAGTGATAGTCAGACAGTACGAGAACAACCCCAAGGGAAAAGGAGGCAGTAGTGACTTGTAACTTGAGCCTGCTGCAGGCAGCATTAGGACACATGAGATGTGCATTAAGCATTTGCGGTGGGAGGAGGATGGCATGTTACCATGGTGGGCTTGGCGTTTCGGTGGGGGTCATCATGGAGTTGAATTTTCAGGGGTTTTGTCATAACATTTTTCAGGCATTTTGTCTCAAGATCATTGTCATAATATGGACTATGAGACCTAGAAGTAACTTCTGACTTTGCAGACCAATCAAAATACTGGTGTGACAATTTCAGGTGAAAAAGAAATTGCTACAAGAAGCTACTGTCTCTATATTTAGAACATGTATCACTGGCTAAACACTTCTTTTATTTAGATGAGCCCAGTGGACAGTGAACAGTCTGCTGAAAAGTTGCAAAGTTGAGCAAGCTGAAGTCACTGCAGTGGTGAAATCTTGATATATTCATGGCTTAAGATAAAGGGTTGGTAACAAAATTAAATTCAATCCAACTCTATATTAAAAAACTCTATCTGTAATTTTGCACACATCTAACACATTAAGGTTTTTTTCTTTTTCTCGGAGTTTAAAATGATTTATTTGTTGATGAGAGCCACGATCTGGAGCAGCAGAAGCCACTTTTCAGAAGGTGACTTGAGGGAATGGGGTCAGGGTTCCACGATGCAGCCTCCACCCGCCAAGCTGGAAGCTATGCCCGGTCGTAGGGTGAACTCTGCTCGGACTCCAGCGGGACAGCACAGTGAGCAGATGCCCTGGCTAGAGTTCATCTGGAGGCTCTTCTCCTTTTCCTCTCTCCTCTCTCCTCTCTCCTGTCTCCTGTCTCCTCTCTCCTCTCTCCTCTCTCCTCTCTCCTCTCTCCTCTCTTCTCCTCCTCCTCCTCCTCCCCCTCCGCCTCCTCCTCCTTCTTTTTCTCTTTCTCCTCCCCGCCCCTGCCTCTTCTTGTACCTTTTCTTCTTCACAGGGACTCCCTCTGGTGCAGCAGGTCAGCCACCTCTACTGGCTGCTGCAGCGTTGTCTTTGCCCTGCTCTTTGGGGCGCACTCTGGTCACTGGGTGCCTGGACACAATCCTCAGCGGCCTCATCCCTGCTGCTGCTTGGTCCAGTCTCCTTTCTTGGCCATGTGTCCCTGGCTCACCTCTTCTTTCTGCTCTTTCTTTTTAGGCCACCTGGCCTTGGTTTGGGGATAATTCCACATCTCAATCTACTGCTGCTCCAGTCCTCCCACCTTTTCCATCCCACATCGGGCAGGCGGGGCTGGGGTGCTGTGGCTTCTCCTCTGCTGGGCCATCCGCTGGGCAGAGCACTCCCGAGTGATGAAAGGTAGCAGAGGTGGTGGTAGAGGTCTCACTCCTGTCCTCAGAAGTCTTCTTGCTCTGCCTTTTCCTAAAACATGTGGTCAAGATCTGTTTTGCTTTGAGAGGACAGGTGAATTTTGTGAATTTCATGTAATTAACTGGGTTTTTGGAGACTTTGGATTTTACTTCCAGGCTTGTTGTTAGAGAACCTGTGGTTTCCTGCCCAGGGCAGGTGTTCAGCTCAGCCAGAAGTGACTGAAATCATCCCGGTGAGCTAGCCACATAGCTGGCTTCGTTCCTGATGGCATCTCGAAGTGCCAGGTGGTTATTTTCAACTTGAATACATTCCACAGCTTCTTGCTCCTGAACCCCCAAGCTCTTTCCTTTAGACCACTCCATCTTCTGTAGCATCCTTCGGCCAAACCTGGAGTCGTCCTTATTCCATGTGGTGTTTCTCAGACCCACAGTCTACTGCTGCTTTCGCTAATGCTCAGTCAGCGCCCATGTGTTCTCTGGTCTGCTGCTTGTGGGCTTCCAGGCTGATGCGACTCTGACAACGATTAGCATGAGGGAGAGAGCAGGGCACCGGTGTGCATGACCGATGGACTTTAGCAGCCTAAGGTTTTTTTCCAGTAGCGTTGCTGAACATCTTACAAGGTTACAAGCAAATCTGAAAGGTAATTTTTGCTAAACAGTGACAGTGAAAAACTAGTAGAAAGACTTAAATGGAATCCATTTAAGGGCGTGGGCAGCTGTTAGACGCTTGGTAACTTCCAAAGAGAAAGTTATGACTACTGATCTTCCGAGCTTCAGAAGAGTTCACTGAAGACTGAGACAACTGCGGAGCCTGTCGCTTACAGATTTAGTGTCCATGAAGACACCCTGGGAATCACAGTGCTTGCTGCTCTGCACCTTCAGCCAAGCAGAGAGAGACAGATCGTTGGCACTGAAGATGCGGCACCCAGGGCCACTGGCTTCGAGGTCCATCCCCCTGATTAATTTTATGATAAATTATTCA